TCATATATTCACTTAAAACCTTACTTTCTCTGGTATCTTTTCTTCTGAAAGGCATTAAAAACTAAGTATTTCAGTAATCGGCCAGGGCCAACACCTGGATGTCAGCTGCCAAGACCAAACTGTCCAGTGGACGCTTTAAAGGAGCAGTCCAATCCAGCCATGGCAACAAAACGGAAGAGAACAGAGGCCTTGGAACAAGGTAAAATTCTCATCACAAGAAATGAAATGAATTCAGAAAACTCCAGATAGCTAATATATAGCTAGTGACTGAAGGGCAGCTAAGAAATGTAGACTGTGACCTGTTTACTTGTATAAATTTAAATTGGATAAAGTTGAGTGTGGTGTTTTAGCTATGTTTACTTCCACTGAGAATACTTACATCATGCTTTTTAAAAGGACATGGGCACTTTTGAGTATACCTCAGAGTTACAAGTACTGTCCATGTGCATCCTGCTCTTTTCATAAATTCCTTCTGGTACACTGTATGCTTAATGTTTAACTAGTGTTATTGGAAAATCAAAGCGAGTAAAAATAGAGGTAGTTGGAATGCAATGACTGGTTACAATTGCTATAAGATTAAATGTAAACAACCTCATTTTTCCCCCCAGGAGGATTACCCAAGAAGCTAATTTTTTAGTTACAGAGAACACTGGACAATATTGTACTACTGAAGGAGATAGTGAAAAAGGCAAAATAGTAAACATTAATTAAATGCTTTAAAAGAAATCTGTAAATATTCTATTCATGTAAAATATGTAAAACTGGGTTATTTTATTAAATGTATTTTAAAACAAACTTAATTCTGATTTTTCTGATTAGAGTGCAACAGTAAGATAAGTTTAATTCTCTGAAATGTAGAGTTGAAAATGCATTAAGGAATTCTTAATAAAAATAACTATCAGTTATTTTAATGATCTGGCCCATATAGCATTACAGATTTGTAGTAAAGGGGGTATTATTTTAAAATAGAAAGATAGTAGTAATATACCAAATACCTGCTACCCTGACTTAACGTATGTTAATATACTAAATAGGAAAAAAAAAAATAACGTTACAGATAAAGTTGAGCTCCCTTTAACCCTTTAATACATCATTCCATTTTATTTTTTCCTTTTTACCCTCCCCAAAAGAGAATGACTCTCAGGAAATGAGTGTGTGCTTCCGTGATTTTATACTGCTATTTTATAAGAATGCATGTAGTAGTATACAGTACTGTTTTGGGTCTCACAATTTGAGTGGTAGACAGTACATCTCATACAGCATTTTTATTCTTACTCAAAACTTTAAAACTTACTTCCCAGTCCTGTAGGTCAGTTACCTCTCATGGCTCAACTGTGTTTTTTTTTGCATAGGCCAATATCAAGGTGTCAGTTGGACTCTGGGCTCTTCTCTGAAGCTCTAGGGAAGAATCTGCTTCCGAGTTCATACAGTTCATGCCATTTTAATGCTCACGCCTCCTTATCCTTGCTGCTTGTCAGCCAGGGGCCTCTCTTAGCTTCTTAAGGCAGTCCACTTGCCTTGTTGCATGTCCCTCTCCATCTGCAAACCGGCAACAGTGTCACATCTGTCTGGCTTCCTCATCGCTGCCAAGAGAGAAAATTCTGCCTTTTTTTTTTTAAGGACTCACCTGATAAATGATGTCAGCTCACTAAGGGCTTAATTATACATCTTAAAAATCCCTTCATAGCAGTTACTAGATGAGTGCTTGAATAACCAGGACAGGAATCATGAGAGGGCCATCTTGAGAATTCTGTCACATGGACATTTAGGTTATTTAAAAAGGATTGTTTATATGCACATGCAAGCGTTTCTCTAATGTACATACTTAGAATTGTAATCGTGAGGTCATAGTGCGTATTTTCAATTTAGTGTTGATATTGCCATATTTCTCCAAAGTAGTTTTATCAGTTTACACCCAGTAGCTGTTCAGTAGTTCTTAAAAATGAAGAAGCCCCTTACCTTACACTGTATACAGAAACTAACTCAAAATATATCAAAGACCTGAACACCAGGCCTAAAGCTATAAAAATTCTTTGAAAATAACATAGAGGGAAAGCTTCATGACATCAGATTTGGCAGGGACTTCCTGGATATGACCCCAAAACACAGGCAACAAAAGTAAAAAATAGATCATTTGGACTATATCAAAATTAAAAGCTTGTGTGCCTCAAAGGAATGTAATCAATAGAATGGAAAGGCAACCTATGGAATGAGAGAAAATATTTGCAAATCATGTATCCGATAAGGGGTTCATATCCAGAATCTGTGAAGAATATATGTTGTTGTTATAGTTCAACAACAAAATCCAAATAAAAAATGGGCAAAGGACTTGAAATAGACATTTCACCAAAGATGACATAGTAATGGCCAAAAAAACCCATGAAAAGATGCCCAACATCACTAATCATTAGGGAAATGCAAGTCAAAACCACAGTGAGATTATCACCTTATACCTATTAGGATGGCTACTACCAAAAAAACTCAGAAAATAACAAGTGTCAGTGAGCATGTGGAGAAATTGGGACCCTTGTAAACTATTGGTGGGAATGTATAAAAACAGTGCCAGCAGCTGTGGGAAACTGTAGTGTTTCCTCAAAAAATTTAAAATGGAATTACCATATGATCCAGCAGCTTCACTTCTGAGTATATACGCAAAAAAATTGAATGCAGTATCCCAAATGAATGCATTCGTTAACCTTTATGTAAGAATCTATTTCACTTCATCATCTCTAGCATTCATACTGTTTGGGGTCTTTGCTAATTTGATACCTCTTTCTAATTTACTTTTCTTTGATTTCTACTGTGTTGCTAATCCCTCCTCTGTGAACTGTTGGTTCATTTTTTTTTTTTAAATACAATTTTTAAAGGTATTTTCCATTTAGTTATTACAAGATATCAGCTGTATTCCCCGTGTTGTACGATACATCTTTGAGCCTATCTCACACCCTATAGTTTGTACCCCCATTCCCCACCCCTATATGAACCCTCCCCCTGCAACCACTAGTTTGTTCTCTGTATTTGTGAGGCTGCTGCTTTGTTGTTAAATTCACTAGTTTGTTGTATTTTTTTAGGTTCTCATATAAGTGATATCATGCAGTATTTGTCTCTGATTTATTTCACTTAGCATAATGCCCTCCAAGTCCACCCGTGTTGCTGCAAATGGCAAAATTTCGTTCTTTTTTATGACTGAGTAGTATTCCACTGTATGTATAGATACAACATCTTCTTTATCCATCATCTGTTTATGGACACTTAGGTTGCTTGCATACCTTGGCAATTGTGAATAATGCTGCTGTGAACATTGAGGTGCATGTATCTTTGTGAATCAATGATTTTGGTTCTTTTTGGATATATACCCAGGAGTGAAATTGTTGGATCATGTGGTAGTTCTATTTTTAGTTTTCTGAGAAACCTTCATACTGTTTCCACAGTGGCTGCACCAGTTTACATTCCCACCAACAGTGTGTAAGGTTTCCCTTTTCTCCACATCCTCGCTAACATTTATTTGTGTTTTTGATGATAACCATTCTGACAGGTGTGAGGTGATGTCTCATTGTGGTTTTGATTGGCATTTCCCTGATGATTAGCAATGTTGAGCATCTTTACATGTGCCTGTTAGCCATCTGCATTTCCTCTTTGGAAAAATCTTTTCAAGACTTCTGCCCATTTTTTAATTGGGTTGTTTGTTCTTTTGATGTTGAGTTGCATGAGCTGTTTATGTATGTTGGACATTAATCTTTTATCATATCATTTGCAAATATTTTCTCCTGTTCAGTAGGTTGTCTTTTCATTTTGTTGGTTTCCTTTGCTATGCAAAAGCTTTTAAGTTTAATTAGGTCCCATTTGTTTATTTTTGCTTTTGTTCCCTTTACTTTAGGAGACTGATTCAGCTTCTTTGTCCATTTATCAATTGGAATATAAACTTTATCAATTTATTTGAGTTTGTTTCATATACACACACACATACTTCTTTCTAGTTTTTGTGATTTTTTTTTTTTTACACTTCCCACTTTGGTATTA